AAGGCAGCAGCGGGAAAAGAGATCCTCATAATCACGAGGCCATCCTACATTGCCGGTCAGGCCATCTCCAACAGGCTCATTCCGGTCGTGAGCAACCTCAACAGCCTCGGTGCCAGAAGACGACGCTGAGCTGCTGCTGTTCTCGCTTGATTCAGCAGTGACCTCACTCCTCAGCCTGACAACACAGTGCTGCCTTCAACATGAATTTCGTCATGGTGACGGTCGCCGCCCTCAACCTCGATGACATAAATCGGAGGGACAGAAAGGCCAAAATTCGCAAGGACACTTGGCACATGTATGACCTGGCAATGTGCATGCAAGAATCGTGGACGCAGTCCGAGCGGGCACAGGTCACAGAGTATAAAAACATGTCGCCTGCCCGTTTGAGGCGTCCCCTCCTGCTGAGGGGTGGGGTGATCTACAACCGTGACGATGTAATCACACTTGCCACCATGGACATCCATGTCCTTGACAGGGAAAGCGCACATAGTGACACTGTGAGGGTCGCAATCTAGGCATCTAGCAGTTGCCTGCACCAGCGTCTCTCCGTAGTGGTGGTGTGGGGCAATGCAGTACTTTTGGTCTCGGTAGAGGACACATGTACTTTCAGTAGTTTCAACGGCAGGGAAATGACGGAGGCGACCCCACACAGCTGCCGGGGAAAAAAGAGAATCAATCCTGTTTCTCTCTATCGTAGTCTGATCACCATACACTGCGGTAATCACATCTCCATGCCGAAGATCAACCGGTACATCTTCCGGCCACTGCCGCTTAAACTTGCCAACGTAGAAGTACAAAGGGTGTTCGCTGTGCCAGGTCAGCGGAGTGACAAAGCGTGCGAGCAAGTGGTACTCTAGTCTCTTTGGCAAAGTGGTAGCAAAAATGCGACCCCCTACCCTGGACAAGTCGAGCACAACAGCAGCGTGCCCGTCGGGTCCTTGTGGGTTGATGATGCTGGGGTACCTTGCGAAGGCCCCATACTCCGGAAAACGCAGCGGGCAAAGTGGCGCAACCGAGTCATATAGGGATTGCGGAACTCCAGGCACCTCGTCCCTAATGATGGCAATGACCTTCTGGAGAGTGGGTGGTCCATCACAGCGAACAGCAACAGCAGCAGTTGGATAATAGGGCGTATAGACGTAGACACCCAGCCACTTCTCATTCTCAAGAGAAGCTTCAAACTCACGAGACCAGGGTACTCGGTCGGTGCGGACATGAGGGTGTGCTTCCAACTGAGTGTTACGGCCATACCATAGTGGTCGGCTTGGGCAGCGCCCAATCTGCGAAATGAGCTCCTCAGGAGGGATTAGGTGAGGCCGAAATGTTGGACCGCGGGGTGGTCCGGCAACATGGCCGGGACTTGTCATGGCATTGCAACCTAGAAGCTGTCCCAAAGTGAGGCCGTAAACCCCTAAACGGAGACCAGGCGGTCCTGCCTCAACCGATTGCGGTAGGGAGAGGCTGCACAAAATGACGGCCCAGACTCCAGGCCGAGGGCTCACTTTCCATGAAGACACAGACCCGGCCCGTGGTGCCCCGACGGAGGGGGAACGACGTTTCTTGATGGGCAAAGAGGGCGCATCATATCTTGCAGCCAAGACTACTCTGGTTGGCACCCAATCAACCAAAGCAAGCAGGGCCCTGCCTCCGGGTGACGATGCGAAGTCGGCCTGAACCATTAGGCATCTCACCAATCCACAAAAGAAAATAATATTAACTCCGAAGAGCACTGAAGTTGCTTGCATTTCCCGAAACAAGCCGTCAATCTCCAAACGCCCACAGAAGCCGCACAAGACAAACAGCCACAATCCAATGCAGAACCCTTGCACAGGCTGTGACATGAGTCAGCAACCCGTAGTCGCGGCACAGCAACTGCAATGCGGGAGCAGAAGGCAAAGAGAAAAGCCCAACACCCCACTACATGATGCCAGACACCCGAGGCGGATGTGCGGACGTGTGGGCGACATCCAAAAATGCCAAGGTAGGCAAAAGCAAGCCCCCAAGCAAACCAAAGCAAGACGGAGGCGGACGGGGAGGCTGTGGCCCCTGAGCGACCGATGCCACTATTGCGCGCACTCTCCCGTCGACACCTCTTATCAGAGCCACAAATGCACAGTGTAGACTCGGCCCTGAAAGGGAATGGGGGGTTCCTAAACCAATTAAGGTTCGGGTGTGGCTGCAGGGCATTGGCCGAAGCACGCAGGGTCAAGGCTGTGGCCCCAGAGCGACCGATGCCACTATTTCGCGCTCTTGACCCTACGCTCCGACTTGCACAGTGGAATCGCGGAAAGACAGGGCAAATCCACAAGTCCAGGAGAAAACACCGCTGACAGCCAGGGGACTGGAAGTCCAGATACGCCCAAATCCAGGGAAGGACAACGAGGATGGCAGGAGAGTGACCTGTCTCAAAGGCACAAGTCCAGTGCTTCGAGGCCAGGTCAAGGGAGACCGGACAAAAAGGGGGCTCACTGCAATAGACCAATGCAGGCAACCCTCCGCAAAACATGTCCTCCAGAGAAGGCTGTGGCAGGCTTCAGTGTCAAAAATTCTCACTACCCAGAGAAACATACACTTGGGGTGAGACCATGTCGCTCTTGGATGTGTCTCCGCCGAAGCGTCGAGGGCAAGGTGTTCACCGGGAGAGAACTTGGGCAAAGGAGGTTTCCCATAAACCTCAATTGCACCGGGCTCTCCAAGTGCACCACGCCAAGGACTCAGCAGCAGTGACTCTCCAGTCTCCAGAGCGGCATCTACCTGCTAGTGCTCGACGCTTGTTCCGCCTGGCTCCTCTGGGGGGTCCGTCGATCCATCCGCGCCTGCCAGTTCGTCGGGATCGTCTTCGACAATGGTGGCCTTCTGTCCTGAGGCCATTGTGCCAAAGGTCGGCTCCTTGGCGCGATCCATGGGTCGCCCCCAAAGGGCTCGAGGGCTCGCCTTCTGTGCAGCTTTTCCTGTACAGGGATGGGTCCATATCCATCTCCATCTGCAGGTCGCGGAGCAGGAGCCGCAGGAATCGGAGTTGGAAGCGGGTGTGAGGTGGGCGTCGCGACTCCACCACCATGAGGGGCTTCCGACTGCATGGGAACCAGGCCAGGTGGTGCATTCGTAATTGGCACACTCGGTGCTGGACTGGCGCCAGCCAGCATCGCCTGGTAAGGATCGTAAAGAGCATGAGTCCGAGGATCCACATAGAAGGTTGGGAAGACCTGCGGCGGAGGTGTCGTAGTAGCCGGAACAGGAGCAGGGCCCGATGGTCGTGTCGGTCTTGGCGTCAGCGCGGTGTAAGGATCCGGAGGTCCACGCACCGGTGTCACCTCGCCATACGCACGCTGGAGGACTCCGTCGTGCTTCGCTGTTCCACCCCTCCATCATAATTTCCCACTCGGCATCCGCCGCTTCCTCCTCGATCTGCATCGCAGCCGTAGAGTCCGTGCCCGCACGGTAGCAGGCCTCGAAGGCTTCCCGTAGATTGCTGCGGGCGCCGGCTTGTGCCTGTAGAGACTCCGCTGCTTCCTTGTCGAGGCGTTCCGACTCGACCGCAAAGCGCCGTTTCTCCCGTAGCCACGCCGCCTTCATGTCGGCCTCCCAGGTCTTGCACATTTGTCCATGCTTCTCCTTGTCGTCCTGCACCTTCTTGACTTTTGCTTCTGCTTTCCTGGTGACATGGTTGGGACCAGGCCGCCCTTCCCGGACGGACCATACGAGGGAGCTGGTGTGCTGTCCTGGTCGTGCTGCGGCTTCCTTGTGGCGTAGCCAGGAATGCCCTTGTCCTTCTGGGACCCCTTGCCTTGCTTGGGCCCATGCCAAGGGGCCTGAGGTGAATACGCACCAGGCCAAATAGACCACGACCTGTCGGAAGACTCCCAAGCCTTGTCGTCGTGCTGCCCCTTCCATGTTTTCTGCTTGACCATCCGTCGAAGCCAGGGAGCTGCTGAGTGGTGGGCGGCCAAGCGCCGAAGATCTCTCAGCCGAGGAAGGCGGCCACACTGTTTGCTGTCTCTGACCCGAGAACGAGCCCTGGCTCGAGTCGACCTCGCCCTGCGATGCCAGGACGGGCTTTGCGGGTGCTTGCCTATGGCGGCGCGGGGGTGCCAGCTAGGGACACTGGGGCCGACAGCAATCCGGTCGAACTTGACCGGTCTTCTGAGCCCTCGACGATAAAGCAGTTCTATTAACAATAACGACAACAACGTTTACAACCAAGAAAACAATAGAAAACAAGAACGACAATCATGACAACGACGCGAGCAATGGTGATACTGGCAAGAGTTATAATAAAGCTGATTATAACAGTGCTGACACTGATAATTATAATGAAACTTCTATGCATACTGATAGTAACAACAATGATAACAAAGCTAGTGGTGACAATATTGTGAATAATCTTGATAATAACAATAGCAACAACTCGTACGTAAAACCGTATAATCCACATATAACAATCGAAATGATGATCAAAAACCTAGCACCAACAAGAGCAAATGCTGAAATAATGATAACACGAATAATCACCATAATCATGCGTAAGCACTAAAAAGGGTAAAAGTAATACCAACCACGCTAGTGATATTACGCAGATCAGTACTAAGGACAATTCCTCACATGATGTGTGCAAAAACATATACGTATCTACGTACATGTATGTTGCCTTTTTCCTCCTTGAAGGTGTCCGACTGCTCAATCAAAGTCCAAACCATACAAGTATGGTAAAACCTGCCTAGAATGTAATACTCTTTCTCGGACACTATGTGCTTTATGCTCACGCTTGAGGTTTACCTAGACCTAGTGCTTTCTTTGGTTACCTCGGCCGTTGGTTCGGGGTTTAGGGTTTCGGGTTGAGAGCCTGGGTTTCGGATTTAGGCTTTACCAACTACCATGACCTAGCGTTTGGCAGGTTCTTTTTGTAAGCCCTGGTATATGATTCACAGGGACCCCTACAAAAGAACAGGTTTTGGTAGTTGAAGGTAGGGTCCAGGGTCCTGTAAACCCTGAACTAGGTCCTTCACCGTCCGCGCTCCGACGTAGCTCCGCCAGCGAATGCTGGCGGAACCTTGCCTGGAAGCTATGGTTTAGGGTTGAGGGTTTCGGTTCGTCTGTCCTAAGGGTCCATGCGCCTGCACACGGAGTATGCCTTAACTTGTCAAAGGCTCAATACTCCGAGGCAAAAAGCATTTTTTAATTGCAGAGATTTCGGATCTGTGGAGGTTTGCAATAAGGTAAACCCTCAACAAAAACCCTTAAACCTGAACCGGAAACCCTCCCTGTACCCGAAACCTTGAGGGTTTTACACGGACCCTTAGCAAAGGCTGTTGATTGCCTGCACCTGAATTGCAAGCAAGCACTGACTCGAAGTCTGAAACCAAGCAACTCTACACTCAATGCCGAAGAACCGAACTTTTGAGAAAAAGGGCTTGGGCGGTCATATGTCACTAAGCATCATACACGGACGGGACAGGACACATATGCTGTCAATCAATCGGACTCTCGTTTCAACGCGGCCAAACGGCCCCCCAAAACCGAACTCTGAAACCACTAAACCCTAACATCCTTGAAGTTTGAACTCTTAAAGTTCCGAAGAAACCTCTAAACTTTAAACTGCGAGACCCCAGAACTCTACACCCTGAACCCCCGCCGGCAAACCCTAAACTCTAGAAGTTCAAACCCTCAACCCTAAACCTCCAAAAAAAGCCCTAAACCCTAAACCACTAAACTCTAGACACTAGAAGTTCAAACCCTCAACCCCTAAACCTTTAAAAGGGCCGAGATGCTTAGGGACATAGCTTCCCATGGGAGCCCAAAGCAGCTCCATCTCATCCGTGATCTCAGGCATCGCTGCCATGGCTTTTCGTGGCAGAGGCGGCCTTTGAGGAAGAGGCAGGCTTCTCGGATGCTACGACATTGGTGCTTGATGGGATGCCTCTGAGTGCCTCCCTGCATGTGCAGCTTCCTATGGGACTCTAGAGTATTGCCGCTTGTAAGATCTCATCGGCTGTTGCATGGCAGGATTCTGGAGAAGCTGGAGAACATGCAGATAACCCCGAGGAGAGATGTTATGTTCAGGCATCGGTCCAACTGTTGTGTGATGCATGAGGACTGTGAGCCAGAGCCCATGGAGGAACCGGCTGAGGATATCCGGTGACAGACACACATGCCTAAATACACATGACCTTCACCCCACCCTACTTTATTATGATACCCTGCATGCAGCCTTTGCAGGACTCCACACATGCCGAAGCACCTGCAAACGAGGCAGCCGAGGAGTCGTATGGCGTAGGATGGTCATTGGCAATGCAAGTTGTTGGCAGGAAGCTGCTGATGCACCCGCCAACGAGGCAGCTCATGGCAAAATGATTAGTTCGATTATGGTGTCAAGTGCTTCCTGGCAGGTCTCTGGAACAGTTCATGCAGACGAGGCAGCAGCAGAGGAAAACTAGCTGTTTCACAAATATGTGGGTTTCTCTTACTTGATAGGAGTCTGGAGAGGATGCTGCTCAAGGCGCAGCTGAGGACAAACACTTTGCTATCTGTGGCTGGGATGTTTCAATCTTACATATGTATTTATATTCTTGCGAGGAATCCCAAGAAGCTGTTGTGCCCGCAATCATGGCAGAGCAGGACGAGCAGGACATTTGACTTCTCTCGCAAGTGTGTTGCAGATATGTTTCTTTGCTAGGATTCTGGAGAAGCTGGAGTACCCCCGGTGCTGGCAGAGAAGGAGACATGTCATCTCGCTTGGCACCTGGATTGTAAGTTTAATATATGGGTCTGCTGGCAGGATTCTGGAGAAGCTGAATCTGAAGTGCCCCTAGCCTCGGAAGAGAAGGAGAGCTGAACCGTTAGGGTCACTCGTTTCTTTGTACATATAAACATTTGTTTCGCAGGACTCTGCAGAAGCTGGATTGGTCCTAGATGTGGCAGAGAAGGACCCAACCATGACGTGATGAATTTGCTAGATGGCACAGTATCGTATCTATGTAGGGTTGATAGCTCCTTGACAGGATGCTGGTGAAGTCGCCAAAGAGACGTCGGCAGCAGAGGAGAGACAATATGATACTTGCAAAATGTACATATTTCACGGCTCTGTTGCCAGGATTCTGGAGAAGCTGAAGTACCCCGAGGTGCAGATCATATTGAGTACCGGTGCATCCTTCCCGAACCCTTTGGAGAAGCGACTACAAGCCCGACAGCGGAGGAGAGACCAGGGTGAATCGATGTGAATAGATATCAAGTATAGACAGTATAGACGCTTTGATTTCTTACCAGGACCCTGGAAAATGCAATGACGGCAATGGCGAGGACGGATGGATTTGAATACTACGCTTGTACAATTGTGGATGTATATATATATATAACATAACAGAGTTACATACAATATAGTTTTCCAGGACACAGCAGGTTCTGCTGCCCGAGAATCCCGCACGTGCGAGAAAGAAGCCAGGCAATTTAATGATTGTTCATGATTGTGCCATGCTAACCCAATATATCGCATATCGGTTCTTGTGTAAGATGTCATTCAGGATCGAGAGCCGTTGGTGAGACGGCCACCCAGTCTCCACCGGACACTGGCTTCCATGAGTCTTTCAGTGCCGGACGACATGCCCCCTACCATGGAAGCCGACATTGTGAAGGTTCAACAGAAGATGTGCCCTGACTAATTCGGTTTTGTATGCGTAGTAGTTTATGTCGCTATGATCAGAATCATTTGAGCAGTATCCTCCTGAAACTCTAGCTAGTATTCCCGAGGAAATTGGCCATGCGCGAGGAGGAAGAGCCGGAGGAGGCTCCTGCAGCCACGAATGCTCGCGGACGTGGTGGCAGGGGCCGGGGGCATGGGGGCAAGAGGTCTAAATCTGTAGCAGAGTCTGGTGGTGTTGCAAGGAAGGGTGGCAAAGGCAAAGGTAAGGTGCCAGATGGAGTGGAAGCTCCAGTGCCGGCAGACTCAGCGGATCCAAGCAAGGTTTGTCCGGAGGTGGCAGAACCTGTTCAGCCCACAAAGGGTCGTGGACGTGGCAAGGGTGGCAGGGGTCGTGGCAAGAAGGTCCAGCAGGTCGAGGACGAGCCGGTACACCCAGAAGGTGCAAGCCAGGCTGTTTCGGAGGTGGTAGAACCTGCTGTTCAGCCCACAAACGGTGGAGGACGTGGCAAGGGTGGCAGGGGCCGTGGTGGCAAGAAGGCGCCGCAAACCCAGCAAGACCCGGTAAAGCCACAGGATGAAGCCCTGCAGGAGCCCCAAATCCCGGAGGAACCTCAGAAGCTATCCCCAGTAAAGAAGAAAGTCCGCAAAAACAGGGTTGCAACAACTGATCATGATGCTCCGGGTCAGCATGAGCAGCCTCAGGGGAGTCGCCGCCGACCGCGGCTTTCCAAAGGGAACCAGCAAGAAGCAACAGGATCAACCGAGCATGAAAAGAAGAAGATGCGCAACAGCAAGGATGATCAAGGCAGGGTGTGTGCTATAATGTTTGTCGAGGAGATCCCAAAGACATTTATAAATGTAGAAATCAATGCACACTTAAGTCTAAAGCCCGCTATAAACACTAGACCCCAGAAGCCCTAACCCAGCATCCGGCATGCGAGGACTCGCGATTCCTATGGATCAGCGTGCAGCCCTCACTGCGTTGAAGCCGACTCTGGATGACTACAAGGCCCTTTTTTCGCGATATATCAGGTGGGTCGGCTGTTGAACTCCACGACATTTTCCGATGCAGACATGCACAGCATGTCTGTGAAGTTTCAAGAATGGGCTCGGTTTTAATATGTCGAGGATGTTACTTTCGGGGGCTTGGTGCTTGGACTGGAGTTCTCCCAGGGGTTGCTTCTCTCCTAAATACATATAAGGTGGATCATAATATTCTGAATGCAACCCACTATTGATTAAACCCGACACCTGGACCCAGGAAAATTCTGCTGTTGCAAAACTGATCATCAGAACCCGCTAAACATACATTGTCGCCAAGCCCATCTCCATCTCCTCTCTCAAAGTCAGCAGGCTCCAACGGAGCTATAGAGGTTTGCAGGGGTTTTGAAGGCGGCTTCAGGGCTTCTTCATAGGATTTGTTCGGGGCTTTTCGGTTGGGGGTTCATTTGCTTTGGGTATGTTAATGTTCATACCACTGCAGATATAACTCTCGGGGCTAGGGGTCCTTCTTCTTACATTGGGGACTTGCAGCATAGGGGGTTTGTCTTGAGACTGAAGGAAGGGTGAGCTTCAGGCTACCAGGGTTTTAGGGTCTATAGGCTTAGGGAAATTCATAAAGCTGTATATTATATATATATATATATATATATATGCGGGATTGCTGGGGAAAAAGTTCAGGATATAATTGGGGTTTGGGATAGTGTATGTTATGTACGACTACAAGCATTAGGTTGTAGCCGCTCGGGGTGCCTGGGAAAGAATGCCTTTCTGGGATAAGTGGGTTGAAGGACGACGACGATGCCAACTGCTACTCCAGCTATTGCTGCGACGACGACGATGCCTACTGCTACTCCAGCTATTGCTGCTGCTGCTGCTGCTGCTGCTGCTGCTGCTGCTCTACCGCAGAATTTCGAACAGCTTAAAGAGGACACTAGGAGGATGCTACGATTGTATTGGCTGTGCCGTTGCAGAGCTGGGCCACCCGCACAGCTGCTACATCATCTGCTTCTGCAGCATGATCATGATCTAGGAACTATAAATAAATAAATTAAACCCCAAATTCCCCAATACACTGCAATTGCAAACCCTATCTAGGAAACCTGGCCCGGTCATGATCGTGCGGTGTTGCCCACCATTCGGATCTTTTGGACAGATTCTTGGTGATCGGGAATGTAGCTAGGATGTATCCTAGGTCTCCCTTTGGAGTCCCTTCTTTGGGGTATGTAAACTGTATAATTTAAATACAGCAGGGTATTAGGGTTTAGGGTTTTATTTTATAGGGTGATTAAGGGTTTAGGTTTTCGGGTTTGGGGTTACTATCGACAGTTATCCTAGTTGTCCCTCTGGGGGCCCCTTGTTTAGGGTACCTATGTAACCCCAATCCCCGAAGTTGTCGATATCCGATCGGAGGTCACCACCTACTTCTCACGGGCAGAGGCTGGCGTGGAGCACAAGGTCAAAGCCACTCGCCACCTTGGATTGTAACCAATGCAATATTCCAATATGGGCTTGCTGGGTTGCATGGTTTCTGAGAATGTATCTAAGGGGAAATGCGGGTTCTTTTTCGCCAACCCGAAGAACGGTTCCATGGCTGATCTCGGCTTGCTCGTATACAAGTTATTACTGGAATGATCGCAAGTAGCCATGCTAGCTAAGGCGGTTAAACTGCAGCAGGGCCAAGCCCTGGAGGATGTCCTGGCCCAGTTTCAGAAAGAGAAAGCAGCACTGAAGCTTCAGTTTGCCCAGCAAGCTGGCAGTGCAGCCTAGGGGGTCAAAGCAGCCTGGGGGGTGGTCAAAGCGCACGTTCCTCTGGCCTGAATAGGAGTGACACCCCGTAGCACGTAGGACCCCTCATGCAGCCCAACTTAACCAATAATTATCTGCTGTGTGTTACCCACTCCACTAACTAAGCTATGGCAGTGCTCGTGGCCGTGGTGTGTGCGCTTTCGATTTTGCTAGTCAGATCTACACCGCACTCGTGCTAGCAGTGCCGGGGAACCGTATCCGAAGCTTAGCTGGGAACAGGATGAGCCAAGTGCGAAAAGGGCATCTGTTATTACAATTATTATTATGCTTTGATCCGCGCTGATGTCGTGCAGGAGTCCTTGCATGTGTATAAACCCAACAGACACAAGGCTCCAGGAGTATAGGACCCCCGGGACTTTGCCAGCAAGGAGCACTGGCACCGATCATGACCAATGGCACCCAGGGCTCCGGCCTTTCCAAGAAGGACGTGGCGTTCTTGCTGATGCTAGGGGTGCCGGCTGTTTGGAGCTATGATCGCAGGTGATATTTCGGGGTTTCCTAGAAGCTATGGCGAGCCCAAATAGCCCCGAAACAAGATATATACATATCCCTATAGGTGAACCCTCCTAAGCCAAATCCTTCACAGCCCCAATGCCAAGCTAGGACACACAGCTTCGTGTTGGCTTGAATCCTCAACAGCTCGACCCTGCCGTCCTACATAGTTTTGGTGTCACAATTCAGGGGTCTTATGAGGTTGGGTTTCCACAGGGTCTAGAGTCTAGAGGGTTGACCAGGGTTCATTTATCTCAGGATAGCACTACGGGCATGCAAATCCGATCCCTCGATTGCATGGAACTGTTCTGTGGCTGGGCTGGGGTCGCCAAGGCATTCAGTCAGGTTCCCAGATATGACTAGGACCATGTATGATGCTATGATCACTGTTACTCAATTTATAGTTCTGGCCTAGCTATTTCGCCTCTACTCGCAGATACCTACGGCATGCATGGCTCCGGCTACGACGTTCTAGTGGACAAAGACATGGACCTTTCCTCTTCGTTTCTTGTCAGAACATTGTATGGCTTTGGTCAGAACATTGTATGGCTTTGGTGTGGTTGCATGTGCATTGCTGCTGAATCAGGCTGGGGCTGTGTTTGGCGGCTCAGCAGATGCTGAGGGTGAAAGCATCCGGTGTCTTATTCTGCGGGCTCCCGTGCTCGAGTTTCGTTTGGATGAGTCGTGGCTCTACACAAAGGAGCTTCGCAAATCCCGAGGGGAACCCGTACTCTGCTTGTGCCACCATGGGCAACCTCCTGGCTACCAGATTCGTGCTCTTAAGGCTAACCTTGTGCGCAAAGTTTGGTGGATGTGTGAGCAGCCGGGCTCATCGCTCGCATACCTTTTACCGGCGGTGCGCTGGCTCATGTGCTGCAACTCCGTAAATCAGCACTTCAACCCAGCAGTTCTACGTCGCTTGCGCCTAGTTTGCATTTATAGCTAGAATCATGTGCAGCCCCAGAAACATCATTTATGTTGCGATCCCTGATTAATATGACTTACAGGCCTCGAAACCTTGAAACCTCTCCACTCAGTTGGATGGGACTCTACGGTTCCCGAACTTTGAAGCGGAGCATGGCCTTCGGAGATTGGCGGCTCGGCAGCATTCCTGAGTACAAGTACACTACAGTATAGTAGTCCTAGCTAGCTAGTAGTAGTAGTAGTAGTAGTAGTAGTAGTACTAGTACTAGTACTAGTACTAGTACTAGTACTAGTACTAGTACTAGTACTAGTACTAGTAGTAGTACTAGTAATAGTAATAGTAGTAGTAGTAGTAGTAGTAGTAGGAGTAGGAGTAGGAGTAGGAGTAGGAGTAGGAGTAGGAGTAGGAGTAGGAGTAGCAGTAGTAGTAGTAGTCCTAGCCGAAGCCTGGAATGGCTTCATTGGGCTTGGCTGAGAAGATCACGGCACGGAGTCGCCAGAGGCAAAGGTGGAACTCAGCTGGTGTGGTGAAGAGAAAGAAGAATAAGGATGGAAAGGTGAAGGTGTGAATCGGACGGCATCATTCAGTTTGTATGTTTAATTGAGCACCCATGAGCCATGTATGTCTTCCTGCCTCTAAGGTACGGAGGTCCACGTCTGAAGCAAACCGAAGCGTACCCCAAGGGATTTTGTGTCAATTTGGCCAGATCCCATCTGATCTACTGCAAGGACATTACCTGAGAGTCGCTTCGGCAATAAGAGGAGAAATCTTCTAGATCGCAAACCTTTCGGTAGGAGCTCCAGCTTGTGCCTGATACTCCGGTGCCATCGCATTGCCTCCATCGAGTCCGGAAGCCCTGGCTCCTTGCCGTGATCCTTTGTACCTGTGTGTTGCCAGTGTCTTCTAGTGACAGAATCATTCCCGGTCCCAAGCGATAACCATGCAGCCTCAGGTTCCTTCGAGTGATTTCTGGAGGAGTGCAGCCTTGGACCCGGTTGGACCCTTGGCAGCAGAGCCGTTTCTCGATTCACATTGCCCACAATGACATTACGAGCATTCGGATTCTTTCTGCACGCCTTCAGGACAGTGTGGTTGCCATGATAGAGCCCATGCGCGATGAGGGCTCTTTTGTGCCCCGAGAGGGCCTCCGCATCAGTTCCCAAGCTTTCCTTTATCAGGGAGCACCTTGGGCACACTTTCAATTCGTTGAGTCCATGCTGCGTGACTAGTCGAGCCAGGCCGAGCCATGTGAACTCATTAGTCTATAGAATCATCTAGGATAGTGTACTAGGCTCCAGGTGTGCAGGTCCACCGGGTTCTGAGATTGGATGCTATGGGCCAGGGCTTGATTCGTAGGAACGGCAGTTTTTTTAATTTATGCCAACTCATGAGCTGCTGATTTCATTCAGCTTATGGACGAATGAGCTTGCAATCAATCCGCTGCTCAAACAATCATGTGCTTAGCTAGTAGCTAGTAACTCGTAGCTAGCTAGTAAATAGTAGCTAGCTAGTAGCTAGCTAGTAGCTAGCTGGTAAGTAGATAGTAGCTAGTAGTAGTAGTAGTAGTAGTAGTAGTAGTAGTAGTAGTAGTAGTAGTAGTAGTAGTAGTAGTGGTAGTAGTAGTAGTAGTAGTAGTAGTAGTAATAGAATGAGTACTCGTGGTAATCGCAGTCGATAGTAGTAGCTGTGGTGGTAGCAGTAGTCCTAGCTAGGTTGGTGAGGTTGGTGGGGTTGGTGGGGTTGGTGGGGTTGGTGGGGTTGGTGGGAGCCCTACCGAGGGGGAGCCAGGCACATAAAGACGGCTCCTCCCGCACCGCTGGCCGGGTGTGGGGCGGCAGTCGCATTTCCTTGGGCAGCCTCTCTTCGAGGCCAACGTGCCAGTGCCGGCACATGACAGCGGGGCGATGGGCTAACGCGCTCGCTGGGGAGAGGTTGCTCAAGGCACCTGCGGGAATCTGTAGGTGATGCGGCTGTTGAGGACGGGAGGCCACAAAATTCTAGTCCAGTGGTAGTAGGTTGTAGTTATTGGTAGTTAGTATTAGTTGCTGGTAGGTAGCAGGTAGTAGTAGTCGTAGCAGTAGTGGTAGTAGCAGTAGTAGTAGTAGTAGTAGTAGTAGTAGTAGTAGTAGTAGTAGTTATGCTAGTATTTTTCTATTGCTTCGAAAGGATCAAGCTGGCAGTATTGTATTTTAACTAAAGTAGTTACAGTCTGAGTAGGAGGAGTGCTAGTGTAGGAATCTGCTATGACAACCCAGAACCTCCGACAAGAGCCCTTTTTTCTCCATTGTATTACAAGATATTTCTCAATGACAATTAGGATCCTAGGAGCCTGATAAGCCCTTAACTCGAAGCTTGCTGAAGGGGTTCTTTCAGTCCTCTGATCATGCGACCGGATCACCAAGCCCCCAATCCCTTCATATCGGAAGGTTCCAGAATACAGCCCTCGACCCAAGCTCCCTCGAAAGGTTCTGTTAAGAGATTTAACCGTTTCAAACCTCGATTATGTATAAATGTCCCTTAACACCTTCAACCTCAAGCTTCCGAAGGTCACTAATTGCAAGCCGCAGTCAGCCCTTAAACTATTTTGAGGCTGGACCCACCTATTGCTTCAGGGTTGACACGGGCAGTGAATGGGTCTTCGGAATGAAGTTGGCTATGGAGGGCTGCAAGTTCGGACCCTACATATTTGTGGAATGAATTGGGGATTGGGGTCTCGAGACTCGATTATATATATATATATATATATATATATATATATATATGGTGCCCCCCCCCCCCACGTACCTACCACTTTTAAGCTTTCCTAGGGGCGGTGGCATGCATTAGGACGTAGGTGAAATCGTGCTCCTCCACACAGTCCCAATCGTGCTCCCCTATACAGTCCCAATCGTGCTCCCCTACACAGTCCCAGTCGTGCTCCCCTATACAGTCCCAAAATCGCGCGGTCGTCTCGTACCCAAACCCAAAACATTGGGACCTCTCAGCACTTTCGCACTCCAGAGGCCCAAAACCATGAGAGGTCCCAATGTTTTGAGTTCCCACGTCCCAAAACATTGGGACCTCTCAGCACTTTCGCACTCCAGAGGCCCAAAACCATGAGAGGTCCCAATGTTTTGAGGCTTTAGAGCACAAAACCATGTAAGGTCCCAATAAAACCAATAAAACCAATGTTTTCAGAGTCTCGGGGGAAGGCGAGCCTGGAGACACCCAAAACATTGGTTTTATTGGTTTTATTGGGACCTGCCATGGTTTTGAGCTCCTAAACCCTCAAAATATTGGGACCTCTCATGGTTTTCGCATCCCAGGGTCACCAAACCATGAAAGGTCCCAATGTTTTGGTCCCGTATAGACCAAAATATTGGGACCTCTCATGGTTTTCGCATCCAGGGTCACCAAACCATGAAAGGTCCCAATGTTTTGGTCCCGTATAGACCAAAATATTGGGACCTCTCATGGTTTTCGCATCCCCGAGTCACCAAACCATGAAAGGTCCTTTATCAACATATAACCAGATCAGTTGGGATTACATCATTTATTTTGTTAATAGTTCTACCAATATTGACAGGAGCTTTGCTAATGTTATTAACAGATATACACGATAATACAATATTCTATGAACCATACTTTGGAGGTGGTCCTATACTCTACCAACATTTGTTTGGAGTGATACAAGAGCTAACCTTACAACTTAGTAAATTGAGAATATGATTACCCACTGGTTCGTTAAGATCTTTTAATTGGTGTTCTATATATCTGAATACTTAATACATAATTAATGATACTAGTTCACAGCTGATGCTATCTGGTATACTAGATCTTTCATATACGTAAACTGTATATAATAGGTGGTCCAACTGGTATTGTACTTGGCCAAATAAGAAATGCTGACATAGGTTTACATGACTCTTATCATGTTGTTGCACGCCTTCCTTGTGTCTTATCATTAGGCACAGTCATTGCTATTCTGTTCAGTTTATTATGTGTACAGTCAGATGAAGTATGGTTAATAACAGGAACAACATGACTTAGTAACAGTAGGTTAACGGCTGGTGGTATGAATGGTTTAGGTTAGCTATGTTTAGTAGTTGTAACAAGTTAAACGATCTAGGTTATTCATGGTAGTTGTGTTCCAGTGGTATTATGCTACCGTCTACACCATTACATCTAGCTGGTTACTAATGTTATGCCTAGAAGAGTACAAGACTATGGAGATTTTTATAATCGATGGAATACCACTAGTTCAGTTGGTTAGAGGTTGCGCGTTAAATCTTTTTTTGTCACTGCTGATAGGTAAGGTGGGCCCTCTATGGGCCGATGTACCCGTACCTCCATACGGGGTGCTCCCAACAACCAGCATATATAGATGGGAGGGTAACTTCTTTTAGTAACACCAATTGATAACAATAGTTGCATGGTGTTGCGAAGACTATGGTGATACAGCTAATAAGTGAATGACTGTAATGATATTATTAGAATGGATCGTAGTGGGCCTACTTCAGTGGCCCATGTGTGACAGTTGCACCATGTCAAAAGAAGATTGTTTACACATCAATAGCTGTTGTATCTGGCTCACAGAGTCTTTGTAATACGTCGAAGTGTTCAACACTTGGAGACAAACACACCAAATAGGTAGGTACGTCGGGGGGGGTAGCATATATATATATATATATATATATATATGATATGATCTGATATGATATGATATGATATGATCATACTTAGGGGTATGTCCGGGTACAGTCTACAAGAACCCTATCTCCCAGCGACTTTGGCTGCAGCGAGCAGCCGTTATCTTCGATTGGCTGGCCAAAGCCTGTGTGCAGGCAGGGGAGTCTGCTGCGTGTTTGTAATGAAGCAACATTGATGGGGCCTGAGGCGTGTAGTCTGGGACCCTATTGTGGTAGGTATACGTAGTGGGGACATGAACGGGCAGCGTTCAGGGTGGATGGGGGGGGGTTGGGGTTGTCCCAAAACCAGGCGACCAGGAACCGTAACAGAAGGGCTGGGAACCGTAACAGAACGAGTGGGAACCGTAATAGCCAAATCCTGCGTTCTGGGGAGGACACTGGGGAGGCCCTCGCGTTTCGAGGGTGGGTCGCGGCTTGGGGTTGGGGTTTGGGGGCTGGCCTGGGGTGTGCGCGCGCGCTGTACGCGAGCATCAGCGGCATCAGCGGCCAGTCCGGGGGAGGGTGCGGTGGGTCTAGGGCACACACGCGGTGGTGCCTAAACCCCAAGCAGAAACAGGACTGTGGGGAGGGGAAGCTTGCCGGAAAAAAGCAAAGGCCGGGGTGGGGGGGAGGGGTAGGAAGGTTATGGACTTGGATGTTGGGGGTTTCTTGAGGCAGGAAGGAGAGCCGACAATGTGGTTTTGTGATATCTTCTGTAAACCTGCTAATTACACAACCCCGATCACTTTCGGAAATCATTCATGAGTCAAGGCTTTGTTGCTTTGGGGCTCTGGAGACTCTGGAGGCTCCAACATACTTTCCGATTCGGGTTGAGGGCTTTGATTTCTTGCAAAAGGGCCATGACATACCGTGTACACACATACACACACACACACACACACTGTACAGACGCGTGCTAAACATGTATATATGTATGTGTGAGTATATATGTATATAATTTAAAAATATATATGTATATTATATGCACATATATGTATACATGTATATATGTACACTCTATGTATATATATACACACACACATATCCCGGCATCCCTTTATAGTTTCTACATGCATACATTGATCTAAAATACTATAACTATAATAAGCTATTGTAGCTACAGCTAGCTATTTTTTCCTGAAACCCCATGCGACCCTGGATTGTGGAGGCTTGGAGCCATGGCCAAGGGCAACACATCCAAGTGTGTGTCAGCGGCCCCTAAAGCTACGGAACTTCAGGCGATTCTGGCTCAGAGCAAGGTCTTGGCATCCAAGGCTGGTGCTGCCCCGCCAGCCAAGCAAGGTAAGGCTAAAAATCCGGCCGCTAAAGCGCCGGCAGCTGCACCGGCCAAGACAGGTGCACCCAAGAGTGTTCAGCCGAGCCCCAAGCCAGCAGAAGTTCCCCGTCCCCCAGGGCCGAAGCCTTTGAATGGTGTTGTGACATCTGCAGTGCCTGCAGCGAAAGCTTCTGCCCCACCGCCTTCCACAGGACCCAGTCCAAAGGCACCGCCGGCCAAGAGTTCACCGATCCCGAAAGCCGTTGTGGGCCGTCCTGTTAAGGCTTCGGCTCCCAACCCTGCCACATCAGAAGTCCCGCAAGCTACACGCACCGAGAGCCCGCTTGAATCCGGATCTGCAGTGAAAGCTTCTGGAGATGCGTCTAGCCCGCCGGAAGCAGAAGTCACGCAAGCAGGCAGTACGCAGTCGCAGCAGCTCATGGCAACACAGCCACAGGCTGCACAGGCCATGGACAGCTATCTAGATGGGGTGTATGCCAAGAGCCATCGCTGTGACTCGAGGTCCCCTCCTGGAATGCGCCCGAATCAGCAGACTGAGCCGACGCCCAGCAAAAGCCCTAGCAAGGAAGCAGGCCCTGGCCAGAAGCTGACCCCGGATGTGAAGCCCCTCCCAGCTACCGATCCAGACAGCCAAGCCTCGACAGTCCTAGAGGGCACCACGCCAGCTCGGGTTCAGAACGTGGCGATGACACCAAAGTCGATGCTGGGATTAACTAGTACATATACACACGTGTGTGTGTGTGTCTCTGTGGTGAGGTGATGCATATACATACACATACCTAGACATGACAGGTTATCTTCCTGCCATACGCTACAACCCGAGGACACCGATTCGCAGCCCGAACATGAAGAAGGCCAAAGCCCCGATGCCCTCAACTCCCTTGCGATCGACCCCGTCGAAGAACCTCATGAACGCGCTTATGGCCTCTTCGTGCCTCGACTCACCCTAAAATTAAATGAAACCCTAGAAACCCTAGTAAACCCTACGAATATAAATACCCTAACATTGTCAAACCCTTATCAAACCCCAAACCTCCAAACCTCAACCCTATATAACCTGCTAAATTTGCTAAATTGTGGACCCCTTTAACGAAGGCCTGGCAACGGTGCGGATGCTGCTGGCGGCGACGGGCGCCAGGTCCTTTCCGAAGGAGAAGGATCCGATTCTATTTCATCGTTGTAATTATACAAACGAGCTATAGTAGGTAGTAGTAGCAGTAGTAGCTACTACTACTACTACTACTACTACTACTACTACTACTACTACTACTACTACTACTACTGCTACTACTACTACTACTACTACTACTACTACTACTACTACTACTATACTACTACTACTACTACTACTACTACTACTACTACTACTACTACTACTACTACTACTACTACTACTACTACTACTACTACTACTACTACTACTACTACTACTAGTAGTAGTACATAGTAGTATATATAGTACTAATAATATATATAGTACTAGTAATGTATATATATATATATATATATATATATATATAGAGTACTATACATAGTATATATATATAGAGTATATATATATATATATACAGATAGTGTATATATATATATACTAGTAGATAGTACTAGCAATAGTACTATCTACTAGTAATACGTTGTAGTAGTAGTCGTAGTAGTAGTTAGTACTAGCTAGTACTAGCTAGCACTAGTGGCTGGAGTGTAAATAGCATAGTGCTAGCTACTTCGGCACAGTGTTGGGCATTCGCCTTGTTTTTAGGGGCTGCTGCTGGGATTCCAAATGCTCGGTTCTGGTCCGACTGCGAATGCTCTAGCACCCTAGGCCTAGGTGTGTCTAGACTCGTATGAATAATATGTTTATGATATAATATATGTATATATTTTTATCTATTTATTTATTTATTTATTTATTTGATGTCTTATATATATATATTTATTTATTTATTTATTTATATTTATACACATTAAAGATAATATATATATATATATATATATACAGACAGGATGGTGGAGCTGGTACGAGGGAAAGTGGGACGGATGCACGGATCACCACTCCTGGCATCAGTGCGGCTGGGGCTGGGAGGAGCCTGCTTGGAAGCAGGCTCAGGCTGATGTGAAGGATCACCCACGCCAGCCTGAGAGACAGCATTCCTGGCACGAGACGGATATCCCTCGGAAGCTGTCGCAGCGGCAGCCGACAAAGTGCTTGGAGACTCTTCCGGAGGAGAGCTTGGAGACAAAGGGGGCGACAATGGCGGCTGAGAGGGAGACCGGAGAGGCGATCCAGAGCAAGACCGAGCAGCCGGATGCGGTTAAAGCCGAGCCCAAGGAGTCCGACGATGCCAAGGCACCCGAAGCCGAGGAGTGGAGGTTGGACAAGTTTGGGGTGACCCTCACACCCCAAGCTTTGTATATGCGCTTCTACCGAGGCCTTCGCTCCAAACGCGATCCTCCCCCTCCGGAGGTTCAGGCCAAGATCATGGAGGCCGAGAAGGAGAAGGACGCAGTCGAAACTGCATACGCTGTACGAACACTATTTGGCGTGCAAGGGCTGCTGGCGGGACTCTGTTCTTGTCATCAGCGTCTCGAAGCGCACGAGGCGAAGAGCTGACGAAGTGTACAGCTTTATTCGCTTCGAGGAGATGAAAGCCAAATATGGCGAAGCTTTGGCTCTGGATCTCAAGCAGAGGCTCGAGGAGCAGGAGAAGAAGGTGGAAAAGAAAACGCCGGGGAAGTTTGTGCGCAAGCACCCGGACTTCCCGAACGAAGAGAGCATGTGGTTGTACCGATGCTTCTTGAGTATGAATGAGATCAAAGAGCGCGAGCGCGAGCACTCGGCTACCTTGAATATGGAGGCCACGGCGGATGTGGAGGATGCAATGGAGGCTGTGTAACGAGGTGGAACTATATGTTATATAGAATATGTACATGTATGTGTATGTATGTGTATAAGTATATATATATATATATATATATATATATTTATTAGCATTTATAAGAGATACTCTCTATATATATATATATATATATATGACTATAAGATCGTACCTAGTGCTTTATTTTATCTTCTGTTTTTCCAGCAGGAAGCGCCAAAAGCCAAAACTCCAACAACCTGTAAACTGTGGCCGTTAGAGGTCCCTTAACCTTCAATTGCAGGAAGCTTATAGAGGCTTGTGCAGGATTCGTCTTATTGCCGGATAGACCCAAAAGGTTAGCATCTCAAGCCCCATACCCTAGACCTTAGCAGCATCTCCAACAATCCTTAAAACAAACTTAGGTGCCTGTTTGAATAAAATAAGTAGCTGCAGACGGTACCACCATGCCACTACAATGCCTGGTCTCTAACAATAATTAGCACTGAAGCCCTACACCCTATTCTGTTCTAGATAGCTTGTGCCACGATCCCAGGAGAATGATCCAACAACCGCAATCCCTGAAGCCCAGAACCCTATTCCCCTCGAAACTCTTCCGTATGTCCTACGTAACCCTGACAAGACCTCTACTTATCTGAGGGATTTGGAGATGGATGAGATAGATGACGAGGGCGGGATCGCTGCCAAGATGAAGAAGCAGGCCAAGCCGAAAACCACCAAGCAGCTGGTGCAGCAGGCCCCAAATTAAAGAAGTACAATGATTTATGGCAAAACAGTGCAAGAACCCCTATATAAGTGTAACGTAGACATGCGAAGGCCGAAAAGGATATGGACAAGTACCTGAAGGAGGGCGAGAAATGGGATGCATCTTTGAAGGAGGCTGGGGTGTTGCTAGCTTGAATTTAGCAAGGTACCCAACCCCCCTCGCCAATAGCAAAACTTATTCCAAAATTTAAACTTCCACACAACCCGATTAGAACAGCAACCATCGAGGCTATTGAAGCCCTATATTGTAAATTATTCCCCCCGATCCTATGCTATCCAAACAAGCAAGGACTCCGGGAAGCTTTGGTCCAGGACGCACAGCCGGTCCTGGATGCTTTGGAGATCTCGCTCAACAGCATCAAAGCCGACCTCCAGCGGGAGGATATCGCGGAGGACCAGCTTCGCGCGATGTTGGAGGACTGCTCGCTTAGGGGGTCGAAGTCTATTTCTCTTACTTGGAGATGTGACTTTCTGTGGCTAGGGATTTATATTGTGGCTTGGGGGGTCGAAATGTTCGGGTCTTGGAGGATGTGAGCAAAACCCCTGCACTTTAAACCCAAAACCCCAAACCCCTAAACAACAAACCCAAATCCAAGACCAGCGAAACCCCAATTAAAGAATAAAACACTAGCCCCCGAACCCGAGATTTTCAATCCTTCTCCGAATTGTGAGATCCCCCAAGGCTAGCTATGACCCCGGCCCCAAGGTAAAACCGGAACCCAATCTATATATATATATATGTGTGTGTGTGTGTGTGTCTACACATAGGGTCACTATTGTAACACAACCTGGCCCGACACTGAATTCCTGGCACCCTCATCGAAGTTTCCCACCCTAGCCACCCAAAGGTCTTTGGGGTACTGGATTTGGGGTTTAGGGCGGAGGGGTATTGGCTTTAGGGTACAAGGGTTTAGGGTTTAGGGTGGAGGGGTTTAGCTTAGGGTTTTTCGTTGTGGCTTTGGCGGCTTTAGCGTGGAGGGGTTTTGGATTTAGGGTGGGGTTTAGGGTTTTGGATGCCTCCCCGTGAGGAAGCCACTGGCTGCATCAACAACTACAAATCTGAGAATGCTACTATCCGAAAGAATGTGTCCACGGCAAAGGCCGCTTCCAAACCCAAGACTGAGAAAGGTGCTCCAAAAGCAGGAGCCACTAAGGGTCCGAAGAAGAGGGCCAACAAAGCCAAGTGAAGATGGTTTTGCTTCTTGTGCAGAGGCCGACTAGAAGTGGCTGTTGGCGGGACTTGTAACTACGTATGCAGACTAAAGGACCTAGGTAGGGCTCTGTAATCCTGTCTGCGGTATACTATGTTCCCTAAACCCTATATGGCCCTGAACCGCGAAGCCTCAACACGGCCTCTGCTGCCGTTCTCATGCAGCACCTGCAAGGCTAGGTGGCTGCTGGATTCCGATGGCATGCACGGGTCGTGCTGCTGTATCCAACCCAACACCGAAACCAGACCCCGAGGCCTGAAGGCTCTGCAACTATCCATCTAGACCAACACCCTGCCGCAGCCTGATTCCTGATACCGCAGCACACGCATGCTGAATCCATAGTTGCTCTGAGGCTCATGAACCTGACCCTTCCTTTAGGAGGCCTCTCTCTCAGGAAGGTTCGGGCCTTTTAACATATTCCGACCTCAGCGATTCGATCGTGCTTTTCGAGCAGCCACGCAATAACTTGTCATGCTAATGAATTCCGATTTCCCAACGTAATTCAAGGATGGTTTCTCTCCCCACGCAGGTGCTGGATCGGAGAATGACTCGATGGCGACCGGGAAAAAGGAGTCTGCTGTTGCCCAACAAGCATTTTTGGACCTAGCAGAAGGCAGCACCAGCGCACAGCGAACGATTGCTCGCGCACAAGCAGCAGTGAAGGACGACATGTTGTTATTAAACTTGATCATGAGCTCTAGCGGTATTTATTGAATTTCACAATGATCGATGTCCCCCGGAAAAAACGCGATCCTATCCTGAAAGCCCCATGAGGAAGCTGGGGAGTCGAATCTCTCGGCTGCCGAAGCTGAGCCGCATGGGCGGCAAAAGGCTCCACAACGCCTACCGAGATGTGTTTCGATTTGTTCGGTTGCCCCTGGTTCCTTGGTTGGGTAGATTCGATCATACAAGTGGCTAAGTACATAGCTCGTACGTGATCGGTATATGCTCGGCATCGATGTAAGGACCTTCACTACGTACCGTGTCCATGTCGAGTTCGTCCAGACGAGGATGAGGAGGAAACACGCGAGTTACCCATGTATCATCCTCATGAGCTCCTTGCATACCTGTATCGGAATGATTTACTCCAGATGAGCAAGAGTGACATTCAGCGGCTGGGCTTCGTCATATAATGTTCTGTAAAAACCAAATGTCCCTGAATCCACGGCTTCGCAAAAAAAGAAGCTAGCAACCTTTACAACCCGCAAGCCCTTTCTAGGGTACGTAGTGCATTCTAGTATTATTCTGCAGTTTGTAGATGAACTGCCGACACCTTCAAGCTCTGGTTCTTGTAAGGAGAACTGCTAATCCCTTAATCGGCAAACACCAGCAGGAACTAACACCCCCTGATCGGCAAATGCCAGCTAATAACCCTCAACTGAAAGCTGTCTAGTTTCGCAACCAACCCCGTCAGAACACTGTAAACCCAATACCCACGAAGCCGGATTCTATACTATAAACCCATGTGTGTCTAGTAACCTAGTACTACGAGCCCAGGAAATACTGGTCCCTCTTCCGAAACTTGAATGTGGACTGGGCGGCGAATCACCCAGCAGCAGACGATGCCATCCCCATAGATGTGTCTTGGTCGTTTAGTTGTATGTAGCGATCGCGACACCAAGAATTCAGAATGAGTCCCGTATCCTTCCCCGCAAACATCTCAGGTCTACGGGGACGAGGCCGAGTACAGCAAAAACCACGACAAATTCATTGCGCTCTCGCTGGGGTCGCCTCTTCATCGCCCTAAAGGTGCTTGGCCCGATATGGTTAAAACATGTGTTGGGTGTATAATCCCACCAACAGCGCTCTTAAGGGGTGTCGGCTTTTCTGAAACACTTTCTGTTCTTCATTGTGAGCTCGGCGACCGCCCTGGGTATGCGCACGCTCCGGACCGTGCTCGTACGTACGTGCTGGTCCCTGAACGAAGCCTATTGGGCAGTGTCACCATGTTTCGCGGTTACCTCCATCAAGGAGGACTGGGCATGGCTGCGACTTTTGTTCAAACTCAAGCACTGGTACAATTGGAAATGCCGGTTCATCTGTCATCGATGCAATGCTACCCAAGATGCAAGGCTGGATACGGGCACACGTGCACATGTACATTTGTGTTGGACATGCTGTATTCAATTGTGCTCGTGTAGGTAGCAAGTGCATGCGGTTTCGTCCGGCAACTTAGAGGTACGGCACGCCGTACACTTCCTTCGAGCATTCGTTCCGGGAAATGAACACAGTCGAGTTCATTCTACATGGCCTTCCTGCTCAGCCTTGTCCTCTCATAGCTTTGATAGGCTTCCATGTAAAGCTGCTGCATCTCGTACATAAAGGAGCATTGTCTTTATCGTTATAATCTTGTGTTTGATCATTTATATGGACTATATAAACACGATTCTCAGGAGGTGGTGTGCTATGCACATCTGTCAACTGGGCCTGTTCCTCATCGCCAATGCAGAGGCTCTTTTGTTGCTGGGTCGGCTGACTATGAGACTGGGCGAGACCAGTTCCTGGGAAGAGGCATTGAAACGGTTGTTCCGGGAATTCCGACAATGGTGCAGCTTGAATAAAGTGGGTTGCTCCCAACGAATGTGGAGAGTTCGATCTTTTCACTGTGGCGACGACCTGGATGCGCCTGCCGAGTTTCCCTGGGTAAACCTCAAAGCCTTTAACAGCCGCTGTGTGCTGGGATGGGCAGCTGAAATTTGTCGGCACGATTCAAACAGTTTTTTGTTTCTCAGTGCTGCTTTTCCTTGTGGATCCAATTACAACAAGGACGCATTGAGTCGTGTGGCGACTACAGGATGCATTCAGCAAATTCCAAACGAGACCTCGGAGGCCTTTGCCGAGTACAAGCGCAGTGCAGAGCTGACGATTGCAACAGTTTTCCTGAGCAGCATGTGCATATGTATATGTGCCACTATCTGGCGTATCAGGAACTAGCGTGTATGCCGAATGTCGTTGTCCTTTGGGGTCGTTTTATGTTATTGATCGAACAGTCGTTTGTTCTGGCATTGTCGCGAAAAAGCTAGGTGCACCCTGGCAGACTGGCAAAACATGGTCGAAAGAGCTGATTATTACCTTTCGCGCGGGGAAGGAGATCAGATCTGGGACACCGGGTATCGCTATCTGAAATTCGCAAGAGCAGCGTCTCTGGACGCAATCGCACACAACACACTGCACTGGCATGCCACCCCAAAGCAGCATGCATCTGGGCTTTACTACATTTCTGGTTTTGGTGGGGTCACTTGTTGTGCTCTCGCCCTCTAGACTCCCCGACCATCCAGGCGTTCAAGGAGATGAACGATGACATGAGATTGACGTTATGGAATTGCCGGGGTGATCACAATTTCAGTGAAGAGGACCACATGGGCATCTTAAAGGCTGCTGCTAGACGACATGCAGGCAAAAATTTCGAACGCAAGATGCTCCGTGGTGCGCTGAGGCCGAATGGGATAGCTAACAGAAAATGGATATAGATCTAACCACGATAGGAGCGAAACCCTGGAGGATTACCCGGATTTCTTGACCCTTGCAAAGCCCTGGGATGCCTCGCGAGCTCCGGCATGTGCTCGGACATGCGCCGCCGCAGCTCTAAAGAGGATGCTGGTGTAGGCTTTAGCTATATACAGGGTTTTAGGGTAATTAGAAGGAAGGGTTTATAAGAGCACTTTTACCATATGTGTGCCCGCGAATCTATCTCAGGCGATCCATCACCAGGACTTCCTAGCCTTGTGAACCCTCATAAATCCCTAGCCAACCAAACCCAGAAACCTGGGCTCCGTCGTTCGGTGCTTAGCAAACGATTTTTTCCAGTAGTAACGTTTACAAGGGATTATAAGGTTTATTAGGACGTAGGATTGGGGGTTTAATAAGGATTTATAGCAGTGTCTACATCGGCTTGGAGTGTGTATGCAACTCTAGCGAATGTCTTCTAAGTTCCACCTGAAAGCGCCCAAATCCACCGCACAACAAAGATGCAATTTCAATTGCAAGCCCCGGAATCTGTATTGCGGTCTTCTAAATCCGGAAAGCACCCAAAATCCTGAATGCACTCCAAAGATGCAAGCCCGAGGCCCAAAGATCCAAGCCCGAAGCCCGAAATGCTCCAATATCTATATATATATATATATATATTCTCCATTGTAGTTCTTCTGAAAAAACCTATACATACAATATTATAGAACTATATATGATCTGCAAATACACGTACAATACTTATTGCCCCGAGACGGAACTACATTGGAGACTATATATATATATATATACAGTCTCGTTCACCCTGTGACAGAGTCGCCCGGCGACAATCCTTGCAGCAGTTCCCACTCGTGGGTACAAAGCCCGAAATGCTTAAAACCCGATCACCCAATCCCTATAAACTTATCAAACCCCTCCCTAAGCCCTACATAGGAGATCTTTCGAGGATGCTTCTGCTGCTCCGGATTTTTGAGCAGGTGTCTGTCTGTCGCGGTTGGAACTGATTTTAAGGTTTCCGGCTATCCACAAGTCGGGGGTTACGACGGTTACGAGGTTATGTGTGAATTAAAACTATAAGTATACAACTAGGATCGGAGTCTAAAAGACCCACTTTTCTTTTGCATTGTTCTGAACCCCAGATAGAAAGCACCCTGGAACAAAACGTAGTAACAAACGGCTGCCGCTCCGTCTAGCTTCTCAAAGGCCCCTGAGCAAACTTAGTTTGGGCACCGTCCTCTACATGGCATCCGGTGCAACAATGGATCTGCTGACCATACCTCCTCATCCGTGCAAAAACTGCTTGGTACAAGTGAACGGCCGGCACAAGTATTGCTGTCGAGTGTGCAAGCAGCTGGGTGGAAGCGGTCATAGCAAGCACTGTTACCGGCGCCAGGCGCAGCTTCAAAGGAGTGACGGTGTGAACCCCAAGTGTCCACACTGTGATCGTGTGCTGTTTTTGGGAACAACCCATGCATTCTGCTGTGCTCGTTGTAGAGAATGTCCTGGTATGCGTCTGCACACGCCAGGCTGCGACCAAAGGGAAGCTTTTATCAACCGCAATGCGGCTAATGCATCAGGTGCATCCCTGGATCTTGAGGCTCTGGACTGATGTGTGTTGGACGGAAAAGAATCAATTCAAGAGATGTCTCGCTAGTTTGTTCGAAGGAAGTGGCAATTCTCTTAACAAACCCTTGTCATGGCAAGGTTGGTTCCGGAACTGAGGTGTCGGTACCCGCTGATTTGGGGAACAAGGCCCAGTTACTTAAATAGCCGGCCCCCGGGAGGGGTTGGGTCTAAGCTGTCAGGCCAA